CGTTTTTTAATTTCGCAAAAATCGCCCAAAATCTGATGTCAATCATCTCAATGGACTTGAAGTGAGGTAGGAAATAGGAACGATTCAGACCGGACATGTAATGCTATTTTGGAATGGCGGCAGCATTTATTCCTACAAATTATGGAACTATCAGATTTTCCTAGGTTACCATATCTAGCTATTCATGAACTATTGGCTATTTTCTAAATAATTACAATAAAGAAGGAAAAAAAACCCAGTAAATCACCGATTCGTCTGTCTTGTTCATATAATGCAAAAACTTTCAATTCATCCAGTTTTTTTTTTTTTTAAAAAAAGAATTATTATATTCTTTTATAGAGTAATAATTTGCCATCTGAACAGTATCTTATTCAATGGACTAAATTCACAGAATCACGTGATATATATCATAAACAAACCGGCGTGGTCTGTGTTTACATAGGATTTCCTTATTTATAAGCTGAATATATATTGTATATCCACACTTTAATTCAATTAATGTATTTAATATCATATTTCTTACATTATTCAGTTATTTATATTCGGCAGGAAATAATATTGAATATAATTTCATGTATCTATAGTCTTATTCTCGTTTAATAGTTAAAATAACGTTCGGTAAGCTAAGCCTATTTAAACTTGCTTCCGGCGTTTGTTTGTATACTTCCGATATAAGCTTTAAATTATTTTCTGCTTTAAAAAGATACATTTTCGAATTGCTAATAGCTATTGAGTTATTTTCACCGTTTTGTTTTTATTAAGCTTATTTTATATTTCAAATTATTTAATTTATAAATATTGTTATGGTACTTGTCCATTTCGCAGGCGCAATCTCGCCAAACAGACTTCATTGGCGACAACACACAGTATACACATATTCCGTTCGGCGTCGGTGTATCATTTTTGGCGACTTTATCGTTTGGGCGGGCGAAAGGGAAAAGTACCTTAAATTTTAAAGGAGATCAGTAAAAACACTTTTTTTAAATACTGGAAAATGACAGTTAAATTAGGATGTTTTTATAATTATAACAAAATGTCAGCATGTAATCCAAATAAAATTGCTACCATTATTTCAGCTCTTTGATAGAAGAATGATTCAATACCTTTAAAAAAGTTGCATCAACCCAAAATTTCGATTTTTGCATTTATTTAGGTAAAAAAAATATATAAAACAACGTTTTGTGATAATTTCACATTAAATTAAAAAGTTGTATATTTAGTCAAATGTAAGTTACTTAATCTTATGAACCATAATACATTTCATAAACGCAGTGCAAAACAAACGAATAATAGACTTGTTTACATAGGTGAATATCACTTGGTCAAGTTATCATGTGATCATGACGTCACACGAATTTAGTCCATTAAAAATTGATTAAATTTTCAAAAAGTTTTAAATTATTATATTATTATGTTTGTATCAAAAACATATGTTTAGTTTTTAATATATATAATGAAAGTGAATTAAGGTTAAATTATAAACAACAGCATTTTAAGCTGAAAATAGGAAAGTATAACATTTTAACAAAATCATGTACAATTTTGCTTGTTTGGTCTTCAGTGAACTTGGAAATCTTGTTAGCTTTTTCAATTGAAATTAAGTATTCTATACTTAAGAAACTATATTTTTTTAGAAATTGTCATGTGTAATAATCACTTAATAATAATAAAAGCAAAACTTGTGTTTTTGTTAATTTATATTTAATGTTATTTTTATTTATTTATGTTAAATATTTTTTGCATAATATGTATCACATTTTATATCTATGCTAAAACCCTAATTGAACTTTCAATTTAGTACAAGAAACTGAATATTTCTGAATTATAAGAGCCCATTTATGTTTCTGAATTATAAGAGCCCATTTATATTTCTGAATTATAAGATTCCATTATGGTAAAAATATAGACACAGCGTGGCAAAAATATATAGTATTGTGTGTAATAGTCTTTTATTTATCCTAACTCATAATGATATAGATATTTTTTTCTATATTAAAAATAATTTATGATTATTAAATAGTGAGAATTTTAAAATAAGTCTTAAGTATTTTAAATATGTTTACTAATAAAAGCGTCAGGAAGAAAATTAGCCAATTTTTTTTAAAATACATGGTTGTGTATTTCTTGATACATATATTTGTGTGAAAAATAAAAGTAAATGCTACATACACATAACATTTCATAGGACAATATTGAGTAAGAATAGTTGTAAAATGAAAATTATTTACATTTTACATCCAAATAGAAAAGTTGGTTATGAAAACAGACTAAAATTGTTTAGTTGAGTTACAAAACCGTCATCTTGATTACTACTATTAATCCTGAATCTATTCCATTCCTTTGTAATATTTTGTCTTAAATTAAATTTCACTATACCTCAAACTAATATAAACTTTTATTTCAGTTTAACTAATCTAATTCATGTAAATAGGATTTGAAAACAATTGTTTGAACATTTTTCATTATCTTGTATTAGTGAACAAAATTGTTGAAACAATTTAAATTAAATACACCCAGGACAATTAGCTGATTTTGCAAGCATCTTGTTAAAAAATAAAGCTTAATTTTCATAACTATGTATTAAAATGAAGCAAGTTTAACAGAAAGTGAAATTAATTAAATAATAGTAATTAAATAATTTTTGAGTTCTTTTTTGAAAGGCGGGAAGTGGGTTTGTTGCCACTTTCTTATTCTGTTTTTATATTTAATTAGGTTGTGGATATGTGGGAGGAGCCTGAGCTGCGGTGTGTAGAGATACTTTTTAAGGTGCTGGCTGAGTTAATTGTAATTTTGATGTTGTTCATGAGTGCATTAATGAATTCATCTCGATCATTGGTATTGTTAATTTTCTACTTTCCGGGAAAGTTATTATAGAGAAATTCTTGATATTTGAGCCAATTAGTGTCTTTGATGTTGCGAACGTGGGGAGGAAGAATGTTAGTAAGAGCTATTTCCATCAGTCTGGTTTTATGATCGCTGCTGAGAACATTAATGGTTTTAATGTTAAAAAGCGAGTTGCTTAATAGAGTCTACGTCATACATAAGGACGTTTTAAAGAGGTAGATAAGGCTTTTCCCTAATCAACATAAAAAAAAGTTCTAAATACAATTAACCATTTACAATGTGGCCGCAATAGCTTAGTGGTCAGGGTCGTGACTGGCAGTTTTCGTTGAGTCGAGCCTTGATGCCACTGAAGACCTGCTGTGTAGCAGGAATTCTTCCCCTCTTTCAAAAATAGAGAAAACGAGAGTAATTTGATCTGTGTGGTCTCTTTACTTCCCCAGTAGGGAAGGGGGAGGATAAGGAATCTAGCTAATGGTTACTCCTCGCCCTCGTAAAGCAACTCAATAGATTTTTTTCCCTCATGAGACTAAATTACCCTTCCGTGTTCAAGTATTTGAAAGCTATCCCAAACTAAGAAGAAACTGTCGTTTTCATTACTTCAAAAATAGTCATTCTTTACGTTCAATAATTTTTTTTCTCCTTTTTTCACACCTTCTAATTCCAAAAATACGTTTCTACTATTTCATGTTTTTAAAAATCGTATCACTTGATTTATAAAAGATCGACAATGCTAGAGAAATATCTTCATCGTATACTGAATAGGAAATATTCCAAATTTTGTGCACACTGAATGATCATAAAAAATAAATTTTTATATAATAGAAAGTTCTATACAAAGTTTTGCAAAAGGACAGATTTAGCCACCCAAGGTGAGCTTTTTTTTCTAATTATTATTAAATTACTCAATTAAACATAAGAATTAAAGAAAACGACAAAATATCCAGAAATGGAAAACAGAAAGCTTTTCCGATATTAAAATTAAAAAAAAAACTATAAATTATTAAATTGAATATATTTAAGCTAAATGTAGCTAAATTTGAAGCAAACGATTAAAAATTGAAAAGTGATCTGGTTCGCCAAAATTGATTCAACTAAAAAAAATTCCCTTTGGGTGGCTACAAAGCAGATACCTGGTCAGAACAAATTGCTGTAATGTATGTCAGTATGCGGTTGCATTAACTGAAATAATTATTAAATTTTTTTTTGATAATTTTGCACTCAAATTTCCCCAATAGGAAAGAAAATTTATATCAAGGCACTTGCTTTTATTAGGAGTTTGATTATTATAAAAAAAGAAACAGTTTGTAACATATATATTATATTATATTTTTCTCTCTATATATGTATAAACACATGCATGCACTTTTTATTTACTTTTTTTACAAGATTTTATATGGATTACTCTTCTACTGAAAATAAAAGTTTTAAGATCATTACCTTAACTCTATTTTTGTTTTTAGTGAAACAATATCTATAACAGGGGTATTCAATTTTTTACACTTTGGGAGCTCTTTGAGCTTACCGTTTTCTTGAAGGAACCTCTTGATCAAAGTGCAGAAAAAATAGGATGTCAAAGCTATATCTTACTCAAATTAACAAATTATTACTGCATCTTTTTTTTTTTATCACAACACAAACTTCTTAGTATAGTAAGATTATGAAGGTTCTATCCGCGATCTTTTCACTAACAGTCCTCTTGGGGAATTTTCGGTCCTTAAAAATTATTTTTGTTAGAAAGCTTCCTATATATATATTCCTTCCTATATAACTATATATATAACTATATATATGTATATATATAACTATATATATAACTATATATATGTATATATATAGACCTAAAGGATATAACCATATAGAGAAGTGTATATATATAGATCATATATATATATATATATATATATATATATATATATAAGGTTATATATATGGTATATTAAGTATATATATAACCATAGATATGGTCCGATATACATACATATAACCATATATATATAACCATATATACATAATATACATATAAGCGTTGGTAATAGTGGTGGAAGCGCAGAGAGACAGGATGGGGACCCCGTTCTATTAAAACAAATCATACCTTTGAGCATACTGTACTCCAAACCCTACACCGAGGGGAAGAGCGAAAGTTTCCTTCACAATGGTGCCCAACGTGGGGTTTGAACCCACAACCCCGAGATTAAGAATTTCGTGCTCTACCGACTGAGCTCGGCGAGCAAGAAGATTGTGAGTAAGTTTAAACCTAAATTTGAAGGCCCATATGAGGTGATGAAGGTTGAGCACAACAATGTGGTTATTTTGAAAGGGGGTAGACTGATATTGGTGAATGTAGATCAGGTATGGATTTATCACTCAAGAGAAAGGGACGAGGGTGTTGTGGAAACAGATGTATTGGATGGTGAAAGTCTAGGGCAGAACAGGTAGAAACTGAGGGTAGCAAAGGTCTAGTCAGGGAGGAAAGCACTAAAGAGGAACAATGGCAAGGTAAGAGAATGAGAAGTGAAGGGTCGGCTGAACCTTCCAATAATCACGAAAGACAGCATCAGAGTAAAAGGAGACCACCAGTGAGAAGGAACTGGTGAAAACGCAGTGCGCTTTCTTCATTAACTGAGAATACTGAAGTCAAAAAACGACCCCATGAGAGCTGTAAGTGGAGAAAAAGGCCAATTCCGGTATCACTTCCATCAGGTCCAGGAACAAGAAAGGTGACCATGAGAGAAGCAGCTGACGAAAATCAAGTCCGGTCCGGAAAGTCCAGTCCCAGTCCACCTCGAGGAGCGGCAGACAACGGCAGACAAGTCTTGCCTGGGAGGTCAAGTCCTTATCAGATTCGCATCATACGACATATCAAGAAAAGGCAAGAGCTATCCCGGATGTCAAGTCCATATCCCCTACGCAACAGATTGTGCATCAGCGAGAGTCAAGTGGCAACTGGAAGGACAAGTCCATATCTGACAAGAGCCGGAGGAGTAGAAACAGCGAGGAGCAGGAAGAGTAGATTTCGGCCTTACAAGCGACGCAACGGTAAGAGAACAGCCCAAGAAGTATTCTTGAACGAGGAGGAGCATCGATTAGTACTGGAACAGTTTGCCAATCGCCAAAAAACAAAAATCAGCGAGTGTGGAGGTGCTATATGGTGACTCATCTGAAAGACCCAAAGAAAACTTGCTAGGGTAGCTAACCCTGAACTTCCAGTATTGTAGAGGACTGTCTTAAAAATGATTGTAATATGTTCTAGTTGTTAGTTATTTAAGTAGCGGTGCACAACCATGGTTTTTTTTCTCAAAGTGTTTTCCCCTGGTCCTAGCCCGAATGGGGTGTTCTGTATGATAATTTGTAAAAGAGATTATATGTGGATTCGATTAGCAGGGTTTTTTTTTTTTTTTTTGCATATTATCGTGTGTCAGAATCTAATCAAGAAATAGAGTCGATTTAAAAAAATGTTTGGCATTTCTTGATTATGTGTTTAAATTTATCAACGTAATTTCTATTGAGTCTTTAAGACCCTCAAATATATCACGTTTTCTTCACGGAGGGGCTCTATCCGCGATCTTTTCACTAACAGTCCTCTTGGGGAATTTTCAGTCCTTAAAAATTGTTTTTATTAGAAAGCTTCCTCCGAAGAAGAGAGCGTGATCATGCAAATTAAGACTGATATATATATATAGTCTAAGCCTTCAGGTTAGGGAAGGAGAGATAGGATAAATTTCTAGCGGAGCAGTAAATAAATTAAGTGTTTCAGAACACGTTGAGTCTTCCTTCCGACCTCCCCACACTGAGGGAAGCGAGAGAGTTTCTCTCATTAGATAATGAATGGAAAGGTAACCAATGGCGTTTTTTGTTTTTCTAAAATGTATTCTATCAATAAATAAAAGCAACAATATTTTAAATTAAAACAAATTCATAAAAAAGGAAATTTTGAATGACTTGGCTGTGATTGTTTTTTTTTTTATTTCAAAGTATTTTAATGCCTGGAATAATTGACGAAATCTGCAACATAATGTCCTGTTCATCAACCAATCTGTTTCTGCATTTTGTTTTTGTCGCAGCGTACAAAGAGAAAACGTTTTAGCATACATAGGCTGAAACAAAGATTAGATGTTTCACAGTTCTTTCGGTAATTTTAGGATATTCTTTTCTAATGTCAATTTAAAATGCATGATATCATACTTGATTAAACTTTAGTTTCAATTTGTGATAATGAGGGGTCGGGAGGTAAGGAAGGATTGGAAGGAAGGGTCGACATCTCTAAAACAATTTACTTTATTGACAGCTCAGCTACAAATCTACAGAACAATTAAAATAGAAATCTATCCTATCTATCCCCCCTCTCCCCCCGCTTTCTCTCTTGAAAGCTTACACTATATATACACATATCAGTCTTAATTTGCATGTTTCCGTTCTCTTCTTCGGAGGAAGCCCTCTGATACAAATAATTGTTGAGGAGTGCAAATTTCCCAAGAGGACTATTAGTGACAAATTGAGTGCCGGTTAATATATCAATTTGAGATATATCGACTAAGCCAAAGAATGGGGAATAAAATATAACCCCGGTTCAAGACCTCAGATCTGTAGCAAAGGCTTACAAAAATTTAAGGTAATGATAATAAAGGTAATTATGATAAATTAGAACAATTGGAAAATCAACATATTGAAATTGATGAAAGATGGTTGAAAATATTTAACCATTTCAAAAATAAACACATATCATCTGAAAATTTAATTATTCTTGTTGAAATTACGTTGTGTTTACTAATGCCGCAGTTGAAAGATTTGTTTCCATTGATAATGATTTTTGAACAAGTGAGAAATCAAGATGGAATGTTGGTACTCTAGCTGCAGCACTTACCGTAAAATTCTATATGAAGGATATTTCTTGCTCCGAATTGTCCAATATATTGATAAAAAATATTCCTTCAATGAAAAAAAAATACTCGGTTAATTAAATAATTAAAAGGAATATAAGTATAATTAGCGTATTTTTGTTTGAATGAATAAAGTGTTTGATTTATTTACGCTATACTTTTTTCTTAAATCTTTTCGTCCTCCTTTTCATTATTAATTTTTTTGATCGCCTTTTCATTGTAAAAATATTGGTCGCCTTAATCATAGGAAAACCGGTAGAGGAATTTAGATGTTATTTTCTTAACACTGTAATTGACATTCTAATTATTCAAATAGAAGATAGAATTAAAAATATACCAAACATTATTTCTGATTTCATATTAATCATGGAAATAAAAACTTTAAAAAAATATGAATCAGGAAAATGTTCCAAAAACTGTGTAAAGTTTTATAAGAAAAATGTAAATGAAAAGCTAATACGGGAAATTGATTTGCGTACGAGACCTTTTACCATAATAACGTACGAGACCTATTACAATATATACTAAATAATAGTTATAGTAAGTTATTTAAAAATGTATTAACTGAGTTAAAACTTATTTACGCTGCCAGGTGCTATTTCAAGTGCTGAGCGCTCTTTCAGCAAATTAAAATTAATAAAAAATTACCTTCTGTCAAGTTTGTGAACAGAATGCTTAAATGCACTTTCTATATCACGGATTAAAAGAGGAATTTCAATAATAATTTTTCTGAAGTAATTAATATATATACGAGTATCAGGTGTAAGTCACATTTGAATAGAATGACTTTGTGGTTTTATACGGGCTATTTTTATGCCAAATATTAAATAATTAAAAAGTAATAACACCAAATTCTCAAGAATAACAATAAAAAACCAAAGTTTAGGAAGACCCCCCCCCCTAATATGAAACATTATTAGAATTTACTCGATAACTACATTACAAACAAAACAAGAGATAAAAAAAATAATAAATCCTTTTGAAAGCCGTGATAGTTAAAAATAGCAGTAAAACGATACAGTTATGATTGAATTCCAATTAACATATTATATTATTATATTCAATTTCACATGACTGAGAAAATCGCAGAATTACAAGGTTTCTTGAAAAATTGAAATACACACGCAGTAAGATTCATAACAGCAATAATAGATCTCGAATGTCATAAAATCAGGAGTTTCGGCTCACTACGTTTCCAAGTCGATATAATCTTTCAAAATCTTAGGTAAACCTAGATTCTGAGTACCCTCTGGTAGTTGATGGTTGTCTGCTAATCTAAGGAACATCGACATAGATGCTGCAACGATCTTGGGCACGGGACAGTAATCTCTGGATGGATAAGATTCACATTATCACAAATTATTGCAGTTCTTTTACTCAGGAATTTGTTGTTGCGGTTGAATCTCCACAAAGAACCAATCATTTCATCTCTAGTGACAAACGCATCGGAAATTGATCTCCACAACAGTTGTAGAGCGAGCAGACTCCCACTATCTTCATCGAAATAATATTCGTATAACGCATGGTAGGTCAACATAATCAGAAAGAACCGGTGTTTACTTCTTCCACTCAGTTCTACGAATAAACCCTCCGATGGTCTCCGGAAAAAATATTTGTTTATTAAATGTATAGTTCGATAATTTCAACATTTTGCACATATAACAGTTTAAAATGTTAAAGGCTAAGTGAAAACGTTGAATTAGAATTACCATTTTGACCCAATGAACTGCCAATAATATACGCACTTTCTTTAATGAATGGAGAACTTAAAATAGATATTTGAATGTTTCAAAAAATTATAATTTGTACATGAATGACAGTAAAATTTTTTAAACAAAAAGAAAAAAAATGTTCTTAATCAATAAGCGACACTTTTCGAAAAGAAGGAGAAAATAAACACCACAGCAAAACGAGTGGCTATCCCCGGCAGAAAGCAAAACAGTAGAAACGACTTGAGGCGAGATTTAGAGACCGAAGGTCTTCACCCTTCATTACGAAAAAGTTTGTACAGAGACTTCGGACAATAAAGGGGAAATAAACGTGTATTATATACAGAGAGCCCCCTCTCAGAGGACTAGAAGAAAACGACAAGCCTCTTTCGATCCCTGCGTTCTGACAGGAGTTCAGTCAAGAATAGTGTCCATTCCCTTCATTAACAAGATATCGGGACACCTGTGGTTTCCGGAAAGGAACAGTTTATGCTGACGACAAGCACAGACCTAGTTTATGACCACAGCTGAAGAAAAAGGGGGAAATAGATAGTAAGAGACAAACAACGATGCGGTAACAGTATGGAGTTGCAAAGGAAATAACACGTGTGGAAAGAAAGGACTATATGTGAAAAGAATTTTT